TTCTAGTATACTACTAAAAACACAATCGATACAAGACAATATTGTAAAAAAGTAGTTTCTGATTTGAGACCACTGTAAAATGAAGCCAAGAACACACCAAAGCTCAACTTGATGATGCTTAACCATGTAGATAGAACTATCCCATTTTTATATATACAGAATAGGGATAAAATTGATAGAATCATCATGGAGGGTAATTTGGCAGCATGAATAAAAGCTTTAAAAAAAGTTTCTCTTCTTTGACTTTAGCTATCCCCTTCTTGGAATCTTTTTAAGGGGAAAAATTACGTTGAACAGATACTGTTCTTTAGTCCACTCAGTATTTGATTTGGCAAACTGCCGTTCTCCCATTTCATGTTATTTGGTGGACCTGACAATCCTGTGACCCTATCACAAAAGTGGGAATACGACACAGCTTGACCAATCAAAGTACTTCAGCCTTTGTGACATGATGAGTGTATTGATGAGTGTACATGTATTGACTGTGACCCAAGTGTTGAGTCTTTTTCATGATTTGATAAGGACACTGAGAGAGAAAGGGCCACAAACTGTAAAACTTATTTTGGGGGCGTTACCAGTAGCCACCTTTGCCATGATATAACTGGTCCAACACAAAGGAAAAGTAAAGTGGACTTGAGAACTAGAGAGTCAGATTCCCAAAATGACAGTCCTGAGGACAGCTTATGAATCCCAGTATCCAGCCATGATTGAAGCACCACCACTCAGCTCCCTGTTAGAGTCGAATATACTTCTTTTTATTAAAAAATTTATTATTATTATTATTATTATTGAAGTATAGTTGACACACAATGTTACATTATTTTTAGGTACATTTTCTTTTTTAAAAGCAAATTTAGAGTTGGACTTCTGTTCTCTTGCAACTTAAAGCGTTATATATATAAATAAATCATATATATGTCATATATATAAATAAATCATATATGTATCATATATATCATATATATATACATATGATCCAAAAAGTAAGAAAATACGTTGATGGGTAAAGATATTCCCTGCCTTGTTTTTATAGTTGTTTTTTAATAAAAGCATTTTTGAGATATAATTCACATACCGTACCATTCACCCAATTAAAGTATATTTTCTTCAGTGACCCTTGGGGTGTCTCAGTTAGTTAAGTGTCTGCCTTTGGCTCGAGTCATGATCCTCAGGGTCCCCGGATCCAGCCCTACGAGCTCCCTGCTCAGTGGGAAGTCTACTTCTCCCTCTCCTTTCCCCTGCTTATGGTCGGTCTCTCTCTCTCTCTCATTCTCTTTCTCAAATAAATAAAATCTTTTTTTAAAAAAGTGAGGGTATTATGCTGAGTGAAGTAAGTCAATCGGAGAAGGACAAACAGTGTATGTTCTCACTCATTTGGGGAATATGAATAATAGTGAAGGGGAATATAAGGGAAGGGAGAAGAAATGTGTGGGAGATATCAGAAAGGGACACAGAACATAAAGACTTCTAACTCTGGGAAATGAACTAGGGGTGGTGGAAGGGGAGGAGGGCGGGGGGTGGGGGTGAATGGGTGACGGACACGGAGGGGGACACTTGACGGGATGAGCACTGGGTGTTATTCTGTATGTTGGTAAATTGAACACCAATAAAAATTAATTTATAAAAAAAAAATAAAATGGCAAAAAAATAAATAAATAAAATAAAAAAAATAAAAAGACCTCCTTTAAAAAAAAAAAAAGTGAACATTTTCTTTACCCTAAAGAACCTCCATACCTATGAGCAGTCTCTCCCCCATTCTTTCTCCAGCCCTAGGCAACCACTAATTTACTTTTTGTCTCTGTAGATCTGCCTATCCTCGACATTTCATATAAGGGAAATCATGCAGTATTATGGTCTTTTGTGACTAATTTCTTTCACTTGATATTTTCAGTTTATTAGTGTTGCATATATTAATATTCCATACAAATATGGCCAAATAATACTTATTATATGAGACATACTACATTTTGTTTATCCGTCCATTGCTTGATGGACATTTGTATTGTTTTTACTTTTTGGCTGTTACAAATTATACTGCTGTAAACGTGTATAAGTTTTTGTTTCTCTTGGGTACTATCTTAAGAATAGAATTATTGGGACATATGGTAACTATTTTTAATCATTTGAGAAACTGCCAGATTTTTCCAAAGTGGCTACACCATTTTACATATTTACCACTAGCAGTGTTTGAGAGCTCCAACTTGTTTACCAATGCTCATTAATATATGATTTTCAATTATAGGCGTCTTGTGGGTATCAAGTGGTTTATCATTATAGTTTTGGGTTTTTACATATTTATTTCATCATGAGAAGTGTATTCTTTAAACCCCATCACCTATCTCACCCATCTCCCCACCCACCTCACCTCTGGTAACCATCTGTTTGTTCTCTATAATTAAGAGTCTGTGTCTTGGCTTGTCTTTCTCTTTTTTTCTTTGCTTATTTGTTTTGTATCTTAAATTCCACAGTAGTGTGAAATCATATGGTATTTGTCTTTCTCTAACTGACATTCTGCTTAGCATTAAACCATCTAGCTCTATCCATGATGTTGCAAATGGCAAGATTTCATTCTTCTTTATGGGCTGATAATCCATTCTGCATATAGAACATATCTTCTTTATCCATTTACCTGTCTGTCGGTGAATACTCAGGCTGCTTCCATAGTTTTGCTCTTGTAAATAATGCTTCAAGAAACATTGAGTTACTGTTTTTGTATTTTGGGGGGGGGGCGGGGTAAATACCTAGTGGTGTGATTACTGGGTCATAGGATAGTTCTATTTTTAACTTTTTGAGGCACTTCATACTGTTTTCCACAGTGGCTGCACCGGTTTGCATTCCCACCAACAGTGTACAAGTGTTTCTTTTTCTACACTTCCTTGTCAACACTTAGTGTTTTCTTGTAGGTTACATTTTACCCATTCTGACAGGTATAAGGTGATATCAGGGAAACTGATGAAAACTACAATGAGATAATGATGAGTGATGTTGAACATCTTTTCATATGTTGTTGGCCATCTGGATGTCTTCTTTGGAGAAATGTCTGTAAATGTCCTCTGTCCAGTTTTTAATTGGATTATTTAGGTTTTGGGTGTTGAGTTATATCAGTTCTTTATATATTTTGGGTACTAACCCTTTATCGAATGTGTCATTTTCAAATATCTTCTCCTGGAGTGCCTGGGTGGTGCAATCACCTAAGTGTCCAACTCTTGGTTTCAGCTCAGGTCATGATCTCAGTGTTATGAGATCAGCCCTATGTCTGGCTCCAAGCTTAGTGCAGAGTCTGTTTGAGACTCTTCTCCCCCTCCTCCCCTCGTTCCTCCCACTCATGTTCTCTCTCAAATCAATCTTCTCCCATTCCATAGGTTGCCTTTTCGTTTTCTTGATTGTGTCCTGTATTGTGCAGAAACTTTTTATTTTGATGTAGTCCCAATAGTTTATTTTTTGCTTTTGTCTAGAAAAACATTGCTATGGGTGATGTCAAGGAGACTAATGAAAAGGTGTAGTTTTCTGAGCATAAGCTTTATGGGGTTTTTTTTTGCTAAACTTATTTCTAAGTATTTTTTGATGACATTTTAAATAGAGTTGTTTTCTTAATTTCAATTTTGTTTGTTTATTACAAGTGTTTAGAATAACAGTTGATTTTTGCATATTGACCTTGTATCCTGTAACCTTGCTAAAATCATTTGTTCTAAGAATTTTTAGTGGATTCTTTAGTGTTTTTTTTTTATACAAGATCATGTCATCTGTGAATAGATATAGTTTTATTTCATCCTTTCTAACCTAGATTCCTTTTACTTTGTTTGACTAATTGCATTGGCTAGAGAACCTCTAGGACAATGTTGAGTAAAAATGGTGAGAACAAATATCTTTGTCTTATTCCTTTTTTTTTTATTTCTGCATTTTTTTTAATATTTTATTTTTTTATTTTTTTTTATAAATTAATTTTTATTGGTGTTCAATTTACCAACATACAGAATAACACCCAGTGCTCATCCCGTCAAGTGTCCCCCTCCGTGCCCGTCACCCATCTTAGTGGGAAAACATTCAGTCTCTTACCGTTAAGTATGGCATTAACTATGGATTTTTTTGTAGATGCCCTTTATCAAATTGAGGAAGTTTCCTTCTATTCCTAGTCAGCAGAGTGTTTTTATCATGGGAAAGGGTTGATTTTGTCAAATGTTTTTTTCTGCATCTATTGAGATAATCACATGGCTTTTATTTTATTGTATTGATGTGACATATTACTTTAACTGAGTTTTGAATATTAAATCAATCTTGCATTCTAGGATAAATCACACTTGGCCATGGTATATAATTATTTATATATATTGCTGGGTTCAGTTTGCTAATAATTTATTGAGGATTTTTATGTTCATATTTATAAGCACATTGATTTTAGTTTTCTTATGGTTTCTCTGTTTGACTTCATAAAGGAATTGAGAAATGCTCCTCCTCAATTTTTAGAAAAGTGTGTAAAGATTTGTAATTAATTATTATTTAAATATTTGATGTAATTCACCATTGTAGCCATCGGGGCCTGGACTTTTCTTTATGGTTAGGTTTTTTTTGATTCTTGATTCAACCTCTTTACCTACTATATGTGTATTTGCATTGTGCATTTCTTCTTGAGTCCATTTTGGTAGTTTGTGTTTTGGAGAATTACTCTATTTCATTTTAAGTTATCTAATTTGTTGGCATACAATTGTTCATACTATTCCTTTTAATCATTTTTATTTCTGTAAGATTGATAGTAATGTCACCTTTTTAATTTCAGATTCTAAGAATTTCATTTTTTTGTCAGTTTAACTAAATTTTTGTTGATTTTGTTAATCATTTTAGTGAACAAGCTTTTGGTTTTATAGATTTTAATATTTTTCTATTTAATAATACTGTCTACATACTAATAGAGATATATTTTTTAAAATTAGTTTTTCACAATAGAACTTAATATTTATCATGTACTTTACAATACTATCTGAGCATTTTATTTGTTTGATTAGATTCTCAGATGCTTAACACTGGAAATGATTTGAAAAAAAAAGTCACAAGTAATTCAATGCTGCTTACCAGTGAAAAGTATGATATGAAGAAACAACACAGTGTTACTCAAGCCACACAGACGAGTCCAGAGGTTCCTTGGCCTTCTCATTCAGTTAACTTCCCTGAGTGCTCCTTTGATTTTACTAGAGAACAGGTAATGGGAAAACTAATTTGTTTGCATTCAGTTTTGGCAATTAAAAAATATATATATTAGATATTAAAAAGTTAAAATATTTATTTACTTATTTAAATAATGTTTATTGAGTGCTTGTTAACACCCAGGGACTATGGAAGTACTGTTGAGCAAGATTGGAACATTCAGTCTTCACAGAGGTTGTAGTCTAGTGGGAAGGTAGAGGAGTAAATGTGGGAGAGTACTAGTTCTTGGAATCTGAAAAAGATTCCTGGAGGATATATTCATTTTGTGGTCTTATTTTTAATTTTGCATAAGTATTATATTTCAGAACATTAGAAAAACATTTTTAAACAATTTTAATGCATTCTAACTTTCTGCAGTCCTATAAATATATTTTAAAAAATTTTTCTTCTCAGGTTCTTTTCCAAAATTTTTCAAAGACAATTATTTTAGTTTATATACCATTTTTTTAACTTAACATTGTTCAACAAATATTTTTCCATATTACTACATATGCTTCATATTTATTGTTAATGGCAGAGTAACATGATGTGAATGTACTGTCGTTTCTAATCCTCCTTAATATTTGCTAACACTTGAGTTGCTTCCTCAATAACAGTATTATATATTATATTCTTATAACATCCAGCAGAATTTTAATTCTCTATGATAGAACCAAAGAGTGAGTGAGTTCATTTGTTCACCAGAATATTTTGGATGTCAACCTTGAGCTAAGAATATAAAATTTAACAGTATATTACCCTTATTAAGAAATTCAAAGTCTAGTGGGAAGGTTGGGGGTGTGTAACTGATGGTTGTAATGTAACTGTGTCAGGTACTGTGCTGGAGATTGGAGAAATGCAGGCAAATACCCAACCTGGCCCATAAAGCAGGAATTCTTAAGCTGGGACTAAAAGAAATCTGAGAACTCTTTGAAATTAAATGTATATATGTTAATATATCTATATAAATGTATTTTAGTGGGGGAAAAGTTCTTAGTTTTATCATTAAATCTTCATAGTTAGAGGTTAGGGAATAGTTCCAAGAGGATAATGTACTTGAGCTGAGTCTTAATGTGGGGAGGGAGACCTATTGGCCATCTAGATGAAAATGTTTAAGGACATATTCAGAATATAGATCCGTAGCTCAAGACAGAGGTATGTGCTGGATCAAGTTATGTGATAGAGCTGTAGGAGTAGATGTATGACTCAAGTGATAAGATGACCAATTATGGAATCTAACAGTGTGGTAAAATGTAAGGGTTTGTTTTAAACAGCAGAAGGAAAGAAGAAAAGTCTGTGGGTGGAAAGAGATCAACATGAAAGAGCTGAGGCATAAAAGGCAAAGAGAGAAGCTTAGAAAGGAGGAGCAAGGTCAGCAATGTGTAAAACCACAGAGAGGTCCAGAGAAACTGGAATTAAGCAAAATCACTATTAGATTTGGAAATTAGGAGTGAATTCCTGTTTTAAATTGCTGGAATGTATACATTTTAAAGTGCTTCTCAAAGCAATTTCACCTGAAGTGCACTCTCACCAGCTTTGGGTGGTTTTACTATCCCAAAAGTGTTACACCTTTAAATGGTTATGGATAATCTGTATTTTCTGAAAATGACTAAAGTCTCTTATTTTCCATATTTATCATTTCAGCTAATGGAAGAAAATGAATCTCTTAAACAGGAATTGGCCAAAGCTAAAATGGCTCTTGCAGAGGCTCATTTGGAAAAAGATGCTCTTCTTCATCATATAAAGAAGATGACAGTTGAATAGCAGGAGTGGCAGTCAAATTCAAATTACAGCTCTGGAGTAGGGAGGTTATATTTATAATGTTATGTTACTAGTTAGTGGAAGACTTTCCTTTTACAAAAAGATAATAAAATAAAATAGAATGTGATGAAGTGGTGACTGTTCCAAAACCAGTTTAGAAAGTATTAGGTACGGCATTACAATCTTTTGGTTGTTTTGTGTTTGGGGTTTAACCCTCTTTAAACTGGTATAATAGAGGGAAGTCAACACATACTGTAAAATAATTACATGCCTAATGGAAAAAAGATGTCATTTTCCTAATTTTGATATCACACTTTAGGCACCTTTTAAAAAGAAAAATGGAAATCTGTTGTGTTCCCACAGGTTGCTGATTTTATTTACCACTATTTGTTAATAATTTACTATTATTTATGAAGATTCAAATGCTTTTAGGGCTATTGTAATTTCAAAGGATGCTTACATTTTAAATGTTATTAGAATTATGTACTTAAATATATAATTATTTAATTACTGTGGAAAAGTCCAATCAAGTTATTAAAGTCCAATCAACCCACTAAAAATAGTGAGCACGTTCAAAAGTTCAAAAATCATCACCCTATTGAACTTCTAAAACTTGAAAATGTAAAAAAATCATTTAAAATGATGAATAAACTGTATAAGTTAAAGGTATAATTTTCAACTGAAAGGATCATACAAATGTAAAAATAAAAAGCACAAACTGTAAAAAAAGCAAAACATTACAGTATATGGCCAGCTGATTTAAAAAGCATTACTTGTACATTCCTTTAAACAGTTACTGTTAGAAGTAAAGAGTAATTTAACTATCCTAAATTTGGCAGCATTTGTAACTATAAGAATTTTAATTGATACTATTTATATTATTTCTTTATCTTTTCTCTGTTTAAGGAGGGGAATGTTTTCAGAGAATTTTCTTTTCATATATGTAAAATACTTTCATACCATTCTTGTAGTATCATTAGGTAGACGTTTGCACATATTGTATTTATAAAGCTAGTTTTGATTAAAGGTGTATGTGACATAAATACTATCTTCTATAATAAGAATAATTGGTAAATTTTGATTCTATTTTCTAGGGATCATTAAGGTTGAAACCATCACGAGGGAGAAAATCATGTGTTATGAAATAAGTTTATGGGTGTGTAAGAAACAGACATTTTTAAAGATTTAAAATATATTTCTGATAGAATTAAACTAAGTGGGGTCTATTTTAAAATTAACATTCTTAAACATAAATATATCTAAGCTATAACATGAAACAGCTCAGACTACTCTTTCTTTAAGATACTTGAAGATTTTAAACAACCTTATGACACTTTATGGTGCTTTGCTTGTTTGGCATGACTTATATAGCCATCCTGTATCTGAATACTTGGACGAAAATACATGTTTCATTTATATTAAGTGTTGGAGTGATTTAGATTTCACTGAAAACAATACTGGCCTTCCTCCTCCTCCTCCTCCTCCTCCTCCTCCTCTTTCTTCTTCTGTAATATCCATTTTCATTGACATTATTTTAAAAATACAAACTCTGTTTGGGAGCTGAGGATACAGCAAAGAACAAATTAAATTGTTAATTTTTTACCTCAGAGTATTTTAAAAATCACGTTAAACAATGTTAATCTAAAACTATATCATAGTCTTAGATTAAAAGGAAAGGTCTAGTTAAACACTTAAAGCATATAGCTTATATCTGTAGCGTAGAGTACTTTTGATTTGTAGGAATGTATTCAACAAAGCAGTCTCATAGTAAAGCAGGATTGATGGGACATTAATGTCTTCAGAGCTGGCAGTTTCTCAGGATTGACCTATTTGCTCCATAGAATTTTTAATTTATGGTGTAATCTTTTAGTGTTACAGAAGCTGAATGTTTTCCTTACTCCTTTTCAGTTTACTTGGCCTTCTCAAAAAAAGTATATAAACAGTAGAAATGATGATTAACATGAGTCTGAGCATTCTTGTATGGTTTGTTGGATTTTTAAAAATTTATACTGAGTACTATTTTTATAGAGATTTAAAATTCATAAAGCACTTTGAAAAACATCTCTTGTAAGTTCTCACAACAAATCTGGGAGGTAGGTATTATTCTCATTTTAGAAGTTAAAAAAAAAACCATAAGGTTTAAAAAGAACAAACGATTTGAAATCACAATTAATGACCTGACCTTTTGATTAAGATCCCAGTTACATGTTTTTGTTTGTTTTGTTTTGTTTTTTTACCTATGTCATTAATTTACAGGTTTTGCCAGAGGTGGGGAGAGGAATCTCTTATTTTATCTGTTTTTCTTTTAAAGATAAATATATTTTTAATTGGGGGGATATGTGTATATTTTTCAAACTACTTAAAAGATAGTAGAGGGATTATGGTTTATGTTAACCCTAACCTTTTTCACAGTGTGAAAAATACAGGAATAAACCTATGATAAACTTAGAGTTATTTAATGACCATAAATTAGGAAAAAAAAGTTGCCATATTTTTATTTATTTCTTTTGTAAATCTTTAGCAGAGGTGTTAGGGATCAGGGAAGGAAAATCATTTCCTTAAGATAAAACATATCATGTTTTGCCTTTTAATTTTATGTATGTCAGAAACATTTTCTTGGTATCTTGTATTTTTTTCCTTTTCTCATTTTGTCCTGGAATTTCAAAAGACTACCATGTGCCATTAGTTGTGATGAAGTGTTGTTTTTATTTAAGCCACGTAAGAATGGCTGTGTGCAATTGCATGAAATATATGTGGAAAATTTAACCAGAAACTCCTTTCTGGATTTTTATTGTAGTTCTTGGCTTTGTCATCATAGGAATTCCACTTCAACAAGTCTGTGTTAACCTGCACTCTAATCAAGGCATTTCCTATTCCAGTGCATGGCACCACCACCATCCTGGCTCCCAAACTGGTAACCTAGAACCACTCTTAGACATTTTCCATTCTCTGACTTACCCCCACCCTCTACCCCTGCCGCTCACCCTGTCAGTTCTTCACCAGACTCTATCACTGCTCAAGTGTGTGTGTCTCCGCTTCTCACTGCTTCTCACCACCTCCCTGGCTACAATCAGCACCTTTTGCCTGCTTCATTGCAGTTGCCTCCTGACCACTCTTCCTGCAGCTACTCTGGCCCTCCTCCAGTCCACTCCATCGCAGGCAGGATTCTCTTTCGAAGTGCAGTTGTAATTGAGGCAGTCCCCCACCCGTTCTCAACCCTCGCATGAAATACTTGGATGACTTTTTCTTGCTCTTTAAGATGAAAACAAAAATATTTATGTGACCTCTATATTAGAGCCGCTATTTGCTTTTTAGTATAGTTCTGAGCATTGAAAGAATTAACATCTCAAAACATTAGAACAGTGGCTGGCACGTAATTTGAAAAACTCTTGGTAGCGGTTAGCTGTTACCTATAGCTGCTTAGCCTCATCGTTTCAGTTCCTGGTACCTCATTGGTCTTGAAGTATATGGAGTGAGACTTAAAGTGCTGCTTCTACCAGAGGAACCTTTGTTCCTGTTCCTTTGGCTTGAAATACCTTCTCCCTGTTCATTGCCGAGTGGAATTATTTGTCTTTCAGATCTCAGTTTATTCATCACTTCCTCAGGGAAGCGTTCCTTAATTTGGGTCATGCAGTAAGACCCACTGTTGTATATTATCACATGAATGCATACCTCTACTTAGCATTGAACATCTTTGTAATTTTACATATATTCACTTGATCAGTGTAGACACTCCAGACTGTAAACTTCATGGGGACCAGGAACTATGTTTTTGTTGTCAATGTTCAACTTTGTATTCCTTATGCCTCATACAGTGGTTGGTATGTAGTAGGTGTTCAATAAACCCATTGAAAGAATAAAATGAGTGCTCAGATGAGGTTTTGAGGATGATATTTAGGTATTACATTTTCCCCCTCAGTTGGATTGAGAGGAGATGGAACATAGGCAGAAAATAGGTGGTGGTAGTTATTTAAAGGGCCACACTTGGGATGCCTGGTTGGCTCAGTGGTTTAGTCCCTTCGGCTAAGGGCGTGACCTGGAGTCCTGGATCGAGTCCCAGTGTTGGGCTCCCTGCATGGAGCCTGCTTTTCCCTCTGCCTGTGTCTCTGCCTCTCTTTCTGTGTGTTTCTTATGAACAAATAAATAAAATCTTAAAAAAAAAAAACACTCTGGGAGTCCATAGGAAAAGATAAAGCTGGGGAATGGAGAAATTTGCCGTGCTGTTTTCTTCAGAATTTTTTAATATCTGGACTTGTCGATTTATCTCAGACCATCGAAAAACAGAAAATTAGCACATCATTTCATAAAACTGCTACCGTGCCAAAATGTCATCTGGCTTTGATTGTAGCGTATGGTGTTGTGGCTGTCAAGATCTGACAGGCCCATCGGCTAAACAAAATGGAAAGAAGAAGGTCAGAGTAGTGGCTGAAATGGTTTTCGGTTTTGACAAATTGACTAATACCCAGGATCATTTGTGCCTAATTCCTTAATGTACGAACAGTTTCGTTTCAGCTTGTGCCTAGAGATGCTAAGGAAAGTAAATTTTGAGCTATACTGCAGTTTACTTTTAGAAAATACAAAATATTAAAAGCTGGAATTACACAGCTTTTACACAGATACAGAAACACTAAAGTAATAATTAATGTTTTTAAAACACTCATTTCTTCATTAAATTGTAATGATAATTTTTTAACTTTTTGCTGCCTTATTTGAGAAACGCAAAAATTAAGGTAACAGGAAGCAAATATGTAAGCATAGTTTTATCAACCATTAGATATCATCTAAGGAATCGTAGTATAGTGGAGGGAAATTCATGCTACTGTTACAGTATTGAAGTTTAGCATCTGTGTTGCTAACACTGTTGTATAGTTGTATCAGGTTTGAGAATTTGAAGCAGAACTTTTAAGAAATATGAAATCAACTTAGTGTCTTTTTTTCTATTTGTATAATAAAACGTGTGATAGTTTTTTTGATCTTAGAAGCCAATGTATCACTAAATCACCAAGAAGAGTAAACTGGATTTTAAAAGATTCTGAAACCATTTAAACAAAAAGGCAGTACCATGTAACTTATTAGATTTTATTTATAATTTGCTTGTGTCATCAATCAAAAGTTAATTCATTCTTTGTAAGTTATACTAAACTGAATTATAAGTAAAATTTCTCATTCTTAATTCTTTACTATTGATGTGAAAAAATATTTGCTCATTTATTGAAGAAATATTGAGCATTTTGGAGATTAGGAGAGCACAGTGAGGTGATTTAGTCTATCTTGCAGCCATTTAGCAGAATGGTTTTGGCTGATAAGACAAAAAACTCAAATACTAAATCAAGTGTCATAAGAATAAATGAGAATGAAAAAAAAAAGAAAATGAAAAATAGATACGTGAAAGCTTAAATAAGTAGAGACCGGAAGTATCTCTAAAGGATATGAGTGAAATAAGCTTATAGGGGTAGGATCAAAACCCATCCTTAAATAGTTAATCAATATTTAAAATCACTCCAATTAGATATACTGTATAATCAGAGCAGGAACTTTTGAAAGTAATCATAGTAAACAAATACATGTAAGGAAATATGTTGGACAGTATTCCAATAATAAAGGACTTGAGGGATCCCTGGCTCAGCGGTTTAGTGCCTGCCTTTGGCCCAGGGCGTGATCCTGGCGTCCTGGGATCAAGTCCCGCATCAGGCTCCCTGCATAGAGCCTGCTTCTCCCTCTGCCTGTGTCTCTGCCTCTCTCTCTCTCTCTCTCTCTCTCTCTCTCTCTCTCTCATGAATAAATAAATAAAGTCTTTAAAAAAATAAAAAATAAAGGACTTGAAAGGGGCAGCCTGGATGGTTCAGCGATTTAGTACCGCCTTCAGCCCGGGCCTGATCCTGGAGACCTGGGATCGAGTCCCACATCGGGCTCCCTGCATGGAGCCTGCTTCTCCCTCTGCCTGTGTTGTGTCTCTGCCTCTCTCCCTCTGTGTCTCTCATGAATAAATAAATAAAATCTTTAAAGATTTAAATAAAAATGAAAAATAAAAAATATTTTTATAAAATATTTTATAAAAAATAAAAAAAATGTAAATAAAAAATAATAAAGGACTTGAAAAAGACATGGTAAAGAATTCACTTGAATTAAAATCCAAGGAAAAAATTGATACGGAAATTCTTAAATTTAAGGTGTAAAAATTGGCACATGCGGAAATTCAATTCTTAAGTAAACGATATGCCCATAATGGATAAGATTCTAATTTCTACATGCAAAGTGAGGACATTCACTGCTATTGGAGACATTTTATCGGTATAGCGATAATTCAGCATCATAGCATCCTGTCCAAATTCAATATATCTGCTTCATAATACTTACTAGCAACATTAGCACAGGTATGAAACTGTTTGCTGGTTTCTTCACTGTGGTAATTGTTACT